AATCTGTATTGAAAATTTATTCCTAAGTATTGTATTCATTTAGATATGATTGTAAATGGAATTGTTGTGTTAATTTCATTTCTTTCTTTTTTGCTTAATCATTACTATAGTAATGCAACTGGTTTTTCTGTATTTATTGTTTTCATTCTACAACTTTATTGAATTTGTTTATGAGTCCTGAATGGTTTGTTGGTGGAGTCATTAGATTTTTCTGTATGTAATAGAATGGTCATCTGAAAACAGAAACAATTTCATTTCTTCCTGTGCAACTGGATACCTTCAATTTTTGTCTATTTCTTCTTTCTTTCTTTCCTTCCTTCCTTCTTCCCCTTATTCATAGGCCACTATTGAGACTTAAACTGGACATTGAAGTCTAACTTGCCTTTGTCGTTGTTGCTGTTGCAGGTGTGAGCTTGAAACTCAGGGCCTAGGCACAGTACTGGAGCTTCTTTTGCTCAAGGCTAGTGCTCTACCACTTGAGCCACAGTGCCACTTCCAGTTTTTTCTCAGTAATTTATTTGGATATAAGAGTCTTGTGGACTTTTCGGCCTGGCTGGCTTTGAACAGCGATCCTCAGATCTCAGCCTCCTCAGCAGCTAGGATTATAGGTGTGAGCCACTAGTGTCTAGCTTTTGCCTTTTGATTCAAGGCTGGTACTCTATTACTTGAACCACATCTGGCTTTTTGCTAGTTAATTGGAGATAAGAGTCTCTAAGGCTTTTCTGCCCAGACTTATTTCAAGTCATGATCCTCAGAGCTCAGTGTTCTGAGTAGTTAGGAAACAGGTGTGAGCCACCAGCACCTGGCTTTTTTTTTTCTCCTAATTTCTCTGGCTAGGATGTCCATTAATATATTGAATGGAAATGGCAAGACTGAGCATGCTTATCTTGTTCCTGAGCTTAAAAGAAAAGCTCACTAGGTACTGGTGGCTCACACCTATAATCTTAGTTACTCAGGAGTCTGAGGTCTGAAACCAGTCCAAAGCCATCCTGGGCAGAAAGTCCATGAGACTGTTATCTGCAATTAACCACCAGAAAACCGGAAGTGGAACTGTGGTTCAAAATGGTAGAGCAGGGGGCTGGGAAAGTGGCTCAGTGGGTAGAGTGCTTGCCTTGCATGCATGAGGCCCTGAGTTCGAATCCTCAGCACCACATAAGCAAAAAGAAAAAAGCCGGAAGTGGCGCTGTGGCTCAAGTGGTAGAGTGCTAGCCTTGAGCTGAAGAGCTGAGGGACAGCGCTCAGGCCCAGAGTTCAGGCCCCACGACCGGACCCAAAAAAAAAAAACAACAACAACAAAATGGTAGAGCACTAGTCTTGAGCACAAAAGCTCAAAGACCAGTGCCCAGGCCCTGAGTTCAAGTCCCACAACCTATAAAAGAAAGAAAGAGAGAAAGAAAGAGAGAGAGAAAGAGAGAGAGAAAGAGAGAGAGAAAGAGAGAGAGAAAGAGAGAGAAAGAGAGAGAGAGAGAAAGAGAGAGAGAAAGAGAGAGAGAAAAAGAGAGAAAGAGAGAAAGAAAGAAAGAAAGAAAGAAAGAAAGAAAGAAAGAAAGAAAGAAAGAAAGAAAGAAAGAAAGAAAGAAAGAAAGAAAGAAAGAAAGAAAGAAAGAAAAAGAAGGAAGGAAGGAAGGAAGGAAGGAAGGAAAGAAAGAAAAGGAAGAACAAAACTCTCCATTGCTCACCATTGAGTACATGCATTGGCCATGGGCTCATGATATATGACCTTTATTATGTGAAGGTATATTTCTTCTATATCTAATTTGTTGAGACTTTTTTAAATTATGAAGAGCTATTGGATCTTGTCGGATCCTTACCCCACAGATGTTTAGATTTTCTATTTCTTTCAGAAGAATGTTTTGTTTCTAAATGTAATAGAAATGGATCTAGGATTTCACATTTAGATATGATGTTGACTCTTCTTTTATAAGTCTTTTTTATTAATTCTACAATATTAATTCTACAGAGTCAGCCAGCATCCATACTAGTCGAAATGAAGATGAGTAAGGAGAGTGAGGAGAAAAGAATAAGAAGTTTCTGGTAAATTCAAGTAGGAAGACACAGAAAAATAGAAACATTTTCTGTTCCCTATACAAGTAATAAGAGTTAAAAATTCCACACAGCTTTATTTTTTGCATTATTAAGGTATCGTTCTACCTGCCTTTCTTCATCGCAAAAATTGCATTTTCTCTCTCTTCTTTTGTTAGTCAGGTATTTATGCAGCCATTGGTGTTTTCAGTGTCCCAGCTTTTGACTTTATGAGTCAAGTCTATTTTACCAAGTTTTCTAATTTAATGAAAAGTTTATTTTAATTTTCTAGTTTCAGAAAACCTTTAGAGCGGTACATTTTCCTCTGAGAGTAACTTAGGGTGTTCCTCATTTTTATATGTACTTTTCTCATGTCATTAATTTTTCATGCTGTGTAATTACCATTTTTATTTTTGCTGCTCTCAAAAGTTATTTAGGACAGCCAACCATGGTTTATTACATGGTAAATTGAGGGGTTTTGTGTGTGTGTGTGTGTGTGTGTGTGTGTGTGTGTGTGTGTGTGTGTGTGTGTGTGTGATTATTTCTGCCTGGGTGTTGTTAAGCTATTCTGCTCAAAGCTAACACTCTATCATTTGATCGTTTGATCATACATCCTCTTCTCTCTACAGATACATGCAAGGGAGAGGGCTTAGGAAACAGAGGGCATGAGGCCACATGGTCATCCTTTGTGCTTAATAACATACACACACTCAGTATACTGTAACACAGTACGCTATATCTCAGATCTAAGTAAGGTGTATTAAGAAGCTGTCTTCTTTTTTTAAACTGCCTTCTTGCTACCAGTGAGGGTTGGCATTAGAGAAAACAAGGAAGTATGTGTGGGGGGAGAAACATTCGTGTAAAGAGCTTGTGTTGGTCCTCTTACCTCAGGCCCTCTGAGGCTGCCTTATCTTTAGCAAACTGTCCCAATGGGATGAACAAGTACAGGATGACTGTCAAGTTAATCTCCCTCAAAAATGTCCAAGCTAGGGGCTGGGAAGGTGGCTCAGTGGTAGAGTGCTTGCCTTGCATGCCTGAGGCTCTGGGTTCAATTCCTCAGCACCATATAAGCAAAAAGAAAAAAGCCAGAAGTGTCGCTGTGGCTCAAGTGGTAGAGCACTAACCTTGAGAGCTGAAGAGCTGAGGGACAGTGCCCAGGCCCAGAGTTCAGGCCCCACGACCGGACCCAAAAAAATGTCCAAGCTAGTGATCCACTGGATAAAAGCCAAAAATCGGCTAACTCCTTTCTAAGAATTCTCTCCAGTTTCATATAGTTAACTACAAAAGTACTGTGGCATTTATCATGCGCTTCAATTGTTCTGCAAAAGGTAAATACCCTACCTAGATTTTCTCTGAAATGTGAACATTTCCATAATAGCAGGTCTGGCGTAGCACCTCACATGAGAGAAACTGAGTCTCGCTGGTTGAAGCGGTCTCCATACCCCCCCACCCCCCCCACCCCTCCCACCCCCCCACCCCCCCCACCCCCGTCAACAAAGGGGATGAAAGATACAGGAAAAGTAGGGAGTAAGATGCGCTAGGGTTCCGCCCTCAGCCCTGCCGCCCCCACTTCCTCCGCTCAGTCTCACAGGGGTCACCCCAAAGGAAGCAGCTGTGAATCCGAGTCCAGATCTTTCACCCTCATAGGTACCTGTCATGTCCTTCCTTAGTTCCTGCTTGACAAAACTAGTCACTAGTTGACTTGTATTTTACTGTCACCCGAGTAATGGCAGGGGAATTGTTTTGCATTGGAGAATAGCTTCACCTAAATCAGTAGCTCTCCATGCTTCGTTTCAATGCTATTTTATGTTCCAATGATTATGTCTCGCCTCCTTTTATTAGCCCCAACCAAAAATGATAGAAACAACTTGCCTCTTCTCTCTATAAAGCCCAAATTAGCTTAAAGAAGGAGGAAACATTAGAGCTGCATTATCTCAATAGGTGAAAGTTTAGGCAAGTTAACTCCAAAAGATGTGATAAAGTGGTGCTCCCTGTATCTGAAGCCAGGAGACTCAAATGTACCCTTGAGCTAGTGTCAAGCACAAAATCCTACCAAATGCCAGTAGCATTCCTAATAATGATGATGATATGTTTGTTAACCACCCCTCCTTTGCTTTTCCCAATTGCGTAAAACCTAGCTTTACAATCCCAATGGGAAAACATGACCTTGGAGTATTTTTCTTCCTCCAGGACCTATTCTCTGCCCTTTGCTTTTCCCTCTAGGTCTGAACTGGAATGTCACACTGCATAAAAACAACCTCCACAGGCAGGTGCTGGTGGCTCATGCCTGTAATCCTAGCTACTCAGGAGGCTGAGACCTGAGGATTGCCCTTCAAAGCAGCCCAGGCAGTGAAGTCCATGAGACTCTTAGCTCCAATAAACTACTCAGAAAACAAAACAAGAAGTGGTGCTGTGGCTCAAGTGCTAGAGCAATAGCTCAGGGACAGCGCCCAGGCCCTGAGTTTAATCCCTAGGACCAACACACACACACACACACACACACACACACACACACACACACACACACACCCCTCAACAATTAAAATTGAATGTTTTTCATGTGCTAAATGGATTCTTTCTCCTTTTTTTTTTTTGGTTTGGTGGTCATGAGGTTGGAACTATGGGCCTTGCTAGGCAGATACTCTGCCACTTGAGCCATGCCCTCAGCCCTTTTTGCTTTAGTTATATTTTGGGCCCCACCTTTCTGCTTAGATCTGGCCTTGAACAGCAATTTTCCTATCTATGCCTTCTACATACCTAGGATTACAGATGTGAAACACCTCACTGGGCATATTTATTAAGATGGGTCTTCTTACCTTTGTTGCCGGAGTTAGGCGAAGTTGCTAAGAAGTTGTTTTAACTGAGCATTATCAATGGTACAGGGTTAGATTTTTACCTTCCAGTGGCCTCTTATGCTGAAAAGACAACCAACTAAACTATTCCAAGCAAATCTGTAACACATTTCTTTTTCCTTTCAGAGGGAAAATGATCCCATCTGATCTGGAAAGAAGAATCCTTGAGGCCAAACAGAAAGTAAGTTTTCCTGAGTAGATAAGATTACATACATTGGCCACCAGCACCCAGCTTGCATTTTACTTTATTTTTTGAGGTTTTAATTTATTTATTATTATTTTTAAAAATTTTATTGTAAAGGTGATATACAGAGGAGTTACAGTTAAATAATTCAGGTAATGACTACATTTCCTTTTGACCACAGTTACTCTCGCCTTCATTTTCTCCCAGTTTTTCCTCTCTCCCTCCCTAACCCCTAAGTTGTAAAGAGTTCATTTCCAACATAGTGTCTGGTGAGTATCACTGCTGAATAAGTTTTATTTTTAGAAACAGATCTCAACTTCACCCTCCTAGCTTTAACGTCAAAACAGAATTTTGTATCCAATACAAATTTATTTCTCTGAGTTGTATGTGGGTTCTGCTTTAGAAAAGGTTACATTTATGAGGACATAATTTATACAGAGAGGGTGTAACAGTTCTTCCCAAAGCATTTTCTTCCTGTGTCTGACAGTTGGAATTAAGCAGACACACTTTGGAAAACTCACTTTCACAAATAGAAGGTATACAGCATGGAAGAACTGTCACCTGGTTCTTTAAAAGGTGTTGTTTTCTCCCGCCTGGACCCAGGCTGATAAGGTTGGCTCACTACACATCTTATTTTGCAGGCAGCAATAGAGAATTGTTTGTGAGTAATAAATTCTACAGACCTGCAGAAGATCCTCACAAATTATTAGACAGCCATTTGCACCCCCATACAGTTGTCAAATGAGTTTGTTTCCACTGTTTAGCTTTTACTTCTTATGCTCACTCTACAGTTCCTGACTTCACAAGGCGTTTTCTTGTCATTATTTCCTTTCATATATATGCCTTTCTCCCTACAATCTGTCTTCACCAAATCACTTGGAGGGACATGACCCACAAGCTTAAACCTTTGCTGCCACCTAGGGGCGGATGATGTAACAGCAGGCTCCTAAAGCAACAGGACCTTCGTTACGGAATGGGGAAACAAGGAAGGTCGCGTTTGCGATATTCTTTTGCTTTCTTGTAGCCACAGCTTGCGATCTCAATTTCCACTTGCCTACAGTCAGACAGACTGAGGACCACTCAGCAGGATAAAAGCCCTGGCTTATTGTTTAGTCTTGTGCAAACCTGTGCCTCTTAGACTGTAAATAAATGAATAGACGTGATGAGCTGGCCTTCTGCTTGCTCACACAAGGGCCTTCCATGAAAAGAATAATTAGAAAATGAGCAAAAGCAGTTAAAAAGTGGGGGAGGGGTTGGAAAAATTCTAGAATAGATAAAAGGTTCATGGAGATCACTGAAAACCTCTGGAACATACAACCTTTCAGAGAACAGAATGGGCTGTTAAATGGGAGTGGTAATTAATGACTGCTATATGGTTGCTAAACCAATGGAGAACCCACGTTCCACAGAGTGACTGGCCAGGCTCACGCGTGGGTAACGCTTCTAAGAATTTCAGAAATTCAGGTGTGCATGTGGTAAGAAGAAAATTTCAATGGTTTTTCAGTAGCTTTAAAAAGTGGGGAAAGGTTGGCCTCCTATTTACACTATTTGGGGACTTTTCATTTCTGTAGGGATTTGTTCCTTTCCTGGTGAGCGCCACGGCTGGGACCACGGTGTACGGGGCATTTGATCCCCTCTTAGCTGTGGCCGACCTTTGCAAAAAGTACAAGATCTGGATGCACGTGGATGTAAGTATCCCTCAGGACTGGCCATTAAAGTGACTTTGTTCAATTTTCTTCCGGGATTCATAGAAGACAATTTACTTTTATTTTCAAAATGGTGGCATCAGAGCCTTAAAACGTTTCAGAGACAAATGAACACTCAATTGCATGGCATACAATGTCTTGATCATGCCTGAAGTTACCTGCATGAAAATATTCTCAGTTCTATGAACTGAGCACACTGTTCAGATCTTCCTTCCTGATGATAATCAAAGGATAAAAAACACTTGCATGTAGAGCGGAAATTCAGAAGTTAAAATCTCAAGTTGAGGTTCTGGTGTCTCATACCTGTAATCCTAGTTATTTAGGAGGCTGAGAACTAAAGATCTCAGTTTGAAGCCAGACAGGACAGACAAATCTGTAAGATCCTTGTCTTCAATTAACCAGCAAAAGTCAGAAGTGGAGCTGTGGCTCAAGGGGTAGAGCAAAAGCCTTAAGCAAAACATCTAAGGGACAGCACCCTGGCTCTGAGTTCAAGTCCTAGTACCAATACACACAGAGAGAGGGAGCAGGGAGAGAAAGAGAGATGAGAGAGAGACAGAAAGAGAGACACCCTCAAGTTCATGTTAAGTATTCCTATATTTGCCGGGGAAATGCAGACTTCACTTACCAGGAAAAATGGATTACCAAATCACCAAAGTTTTAGCTTGCTCAACTCAGAAGCTAAATTATATTTGACATGTTTTGACTTTAAGCTTAGTTACACTGCAAAACAATACAGGTGTATTATTATTTTCAAATTAAAAAATGCCATTTTTAAAAGATGAAGAGATTTAAGCTCAATAGATCATTCAAAGAATTGTTTAAAAATCAGCTGCCAGTCGTTTAAGGATTCAGGTGGACCTGTTGCAACAATGAGAAGTACAAAATGTCATGTCAAAACCAGCTTTACAATGTCGGTGTGGGGGGGGGGAGGGGGGTATGATTGGGTGGGGGGGAGGGGGAAGGCTGGGAAGGGAGGTGAAGGGTAAACAAAGGAGGAGGCTGCAATGCTTGGTAAGAAATGTATGCATTATCCTGCCCATGTAATTGTAACCCCTCTGTACAGTATGTTCTCAAATAAAATAAAATAAAATTTAAAAAAAATCAGCTGCCATCTGTAAATTATGTGCCAATGAGCTGTGTTGAGGTAAAAAGTTTGTATCAAATTATCACTGATTACAAAACAACATCACCCGATGGGTCACTTGATTTTTTTTCCTCCCGTTGGAAGACTTTTTTAAGGAAAGAAGGCATAAGTTGACATACATCGTGGTGCAAGATTTCTGTACTGTTAGAGGCCCACACTTTTGAGTAGCTCTGGTTTGAAGCATTTGGGCTTTGCAATTTGCAGCTGAGGAATTCCACCTGCATGAGATGGAGAAAGATTCTTCTCACTTTGACTCTTTATACGCATATAAATGTGGGAGAGTCTGACACCTTAGTATGGTTCTCCACCCTACACTTTGAGGTCTAGCATCAGAAGGGCCAATTCCTCTATGTTGCTTGGAACCAAGCAGAGCACTTTCACATTATGATTCTCCAAAAATGTGAAATTTTGAGTCATGAGAAACAGCTACCTTATGCTTATATGATTTCCTTTCTCAGGCAGCTTGGGGTGGAGGATTACTGATGTCCCGGAAACACAAGTGGAAGCTGAGTGGTGTGGAAAGGTATGTGTATTTTCCTTTTTCCTTTTATCATTTTTTTGGTTTGATTGATTGATTGATTGGTTGATTGATTGATTTTTGTCAGTCTTGGGGCTTGAACTCAGGCCTTAGGTGTTGTCCCTGAGCTTTTTCACTCAAGGCAAGTGCCCTACCACTTTGAGTCATAGTGCCACTTCTGGTTTTCTGATATTTAATTGGAGCTAAGAGTCTGATGGACTTGTCTGCCCCATCTGGCTTTAAACCATGATCCTCAGATCTCAACCTCCTGAGTATCTAAGATTATAGGACTGAGCCATCAGCATTCTGCTGCATGTTTCTTCTTATGAAATGTTGAGGGTTAAATGTGATAAGCAAATGGTGTTCCATTTCCAGGAACCCTTCAGCCCCATGCTGGTGCGATAGTTCCCTCAGAAATCTTATGTGCAAAGTACAGGAAAGCAAGACTTTCATCAAGTGATCCAGGTAGAATGTGTCTCAGAGGTCAATTGCTCTCTGGAATCCGTTTCTGGGATCTCTGAAGCCTGCAAGCAGCCTACATTTTTCTAGAGAGATCTATAGCTTCCATCCTTCTGAAAAGAGTAATATCTGTGACTCTGAAGAAACTAGTGAATAATTTTTCCACACAAATGCCTTGTAAGTTATCAGTGTTGAAAGGCTTGGGTTTGGTGTTTAATACAGTCGGTTAACTTAAAGCAAGACATACTCCGGATTTCAGTTTCATGCCTTTTCCTGACATAGCTCTGATTGGTGCTAGGAAGTAGCTTTTAGTTCGAGCCTAAGCTGTAGACCATTGAGAAAAGCTCAACACAAAGGAAGGAATATTTGATTTGCATAAGACATCTTCAGGACTAAGAGACGGAATAGAGAATGCACAATACCCTTGGGATCTGGTTCCAAGCCACGTGCAGAGGGAGGCTGGTTTTCCCATTACCCCATGGCAAGTCAGCCGGGCAACCATTAGTGTGAATGCTGACACTCCAGGCCACTGGAGAAACTCCGAATCCATCCGCGGCTGCCAAATGCCCGCATGCTGTGCCAAGTAGCCAGATGTCACCCAGGGAGAGATTCACACTAGCTCTGCCCCTAGACATCTTGGCACAAATTCTGTTGCAGGAAAGAGGGAAAGAGGCTAATGGAGCTCAGAAACATCTGTCAGCACTGCTCATGCAGGGCGCCCATGCCAAGCGTATATGTAAGGTATGCTGTGTGACACCCAGAGATGCTCACAAACAGGACTCACAAGACCAGGATGGGCTACTGGGAGAGAGTTAAGAAGAGTGGCTCAATTAGTGGGAACAGGGCGGCAGCAGAGATCATCTAAGTCCTATACATGGAGTCTCTTGTTGGTAGGGGCTCTGGTCTGGGCACAGCTGGATTGCAGCATTAGAGATGTGTGTGCTCTTTCTGCAGGATGCTCATAGGTAAGAGGGCAGAGGGCAGGTGTGTCACCCTCCCAGAGCCAGCCTTTTAGGCTTCTCTGAGATCTAATCCTGATCCATCTTAAAGATCGAAATAAAACCAGAAGTCTAGGAAGTGACAAGGAATTAAAGAGAGAGAGATAATACAACATGAGAAGAGAAGATGGAGAATGAAAGAGAAATAGGGGAAGGAGAGGGAAAGAGGAAGAGAGAGAGAGAGGATGGGAGAGGGAGAAGGAGAAGCAAAGGGAGAGTGAAAGAGGCAGAGGGGAGAGAGAAAGGAGAGGGAGAAGGAGCAAAAAGGAGAGGGAGAAGGAGAAAGAAGAAAGGGAGGAGGGGAGGGGAGGAGAGGGGAAAAAAGGGAAGGAAGGGAAGAAGAAGAAAGGGAAGAGGAGAGGAGAGGAAAGCAAAAGAGAGCAGATGAGAGGAGAGGAGAGGAGAGGAGAGGAGTTATAGATGCGGTACCTGCTCAGATGATCAGAACAAGAATGGAATTTAATTTATGGGCTGGTAGAGCACTTACCTGGCACACTGTGGCTGTGGTTTCCATCCCTAGCACCACATGCATGTGTGTATGTGTGTGCACCCACCCACACACACACACACACACACACACACACACACACACACACACTCATGAGCTTTCAGGAGAGCTGATCTATATACTACACTTTCTCTTCTGTGAATTTCTTTCTTAGGGACACAAAGCCTAAGCATTTGCTAGTCTACCTTTCGTGACATCTGTGACTGTGAGTGCTAGGAACCATGGAGCATTGTCTATTTGCAGGCTCACTAAATTACCTACCCTGAGCCTCAGAAAAATAAACACCCACATACTTTTGTACTAATGACTATTATTTGAGAGCAGAGCTCAGAGCATTCATCCTGGAACACCTAGTCCTCTACATTCCTATTGCTGTGATTTTTGAAACTTTGTTATAACTAAATCTACCAAGTGCAATAGCCAAATGTGAGGTCTTAGAAATGAGGGGAGTTCAGTGCTCTGCTCTGGGCAAGGCTCCCTTAGTCCCCCACTTTCTGAGCATCCCCATCCTGTTGATTTCTTAGTAGAAGGCATGCCTTCTTGGGCGAAAAGGGTCATAAAGACCAGTGGAAACTTGTGGTCATAATGTCCATGAGCCTATGTTTAGGAACCAAATGAGTCTCACTTGGGGGAAAATTACTTTTTTTTTCTCCAAGTGCCACAAGCACCAAGATTAAGAATTAGTCTAAAAGTGGAGGAAAGTTCTTGTCCTGAAATCAATGGTCTTGGAAGGTCTCTGCATGTCAACCTCACTGCAAAAGAGCAACAAACTGGATCCCTGCTCTACACCTCTGATTTTGAGGGTTCTCAGAAGACAGCGCACTTCCTGGCTAGCACTGTGGAAGTTTCCAGAACTGGGGAAGCTGACAGGGTGCAGGAAGTACCCAGATAGCCCCACATCTGCCCCCTCCCTGCGCACCATCTCTTCCTGAGCCCACTTCTCCAGTGGGGTGCTTACCTGTCATCATCCACTGAGCATTCTGTCTTCAAAACTTGAAAGACGTGTGGAATGTTCCAGTGCAGCAGAAGTTGCATCACCCTCAGGAGAGCCAGGGCACATGAGCTGAGTGGAGAGCCTGGAGGCAGCCTTGCTACACCAGCCTCAGAGTTTGAAATCACCAGGTAGATGAGGGCCAGACAGGCAAGGGGGGGGGAGGCATTGTAGGTGCAGAGCAGAGACACCCCTGGTGGGGCCGCAAGAGGTCCTTGGAGAAAGTGGCGATGAGTGTGGCTGAAGGATAAGTAGACCAAGGAGATAAGGAGATCCGTGGTGCAGCGGGTTGCCGCAAGGACTTGACACAGAGACACACTAGCATTACCAGGGGTCTCTGTACTGCGGACTCCTGAGCTTGGAATTAAGACTGTGTGAACCAAGATTGCAAGTAGACGTTGTAGTCCTCGTGTGGGGACCAAAATGGTGGCAGACCACAGTCACAGGAGCCTCAGAGGGGATTCTGGCAGGGATTCTGAGCAGAGGAGGGATGTGGTTAGAAAGCTGGCGGTGAATGAGAGAGATGGAGGCTGAGCAGTTACACCTGAGTAGAAACTAGGTATATTACACCTGCCCATCCACCCTGTGGGAGGTAAAAGCTATGAAGTTCTCACCAGAGTCTGAAGATCAGAGACAAATGAGTGGATGTCTCCCAGGGGTAGGGATAATGGAGCTGCAAAGAAGACATCAGGGGCAAAGCAGAGAGTGAAATAAACACAACTCGCTGGGCTCTGGTGGCTCACACCTGTAATCCTAGCTACTGGGGAGGCTGAGATCTGAAGATGGTAGTTCAAAGCCAGACGGAACAGGAAAGTCTGTGAGACTCTTACCCCCATTTACCCACTAAAAATAAATAAATAAAAATAAAAGCCAGAAGTGGAATTGTGGCTCAAGTGGTAGAGCACAGCACCCAGGCCCTAGTTCAAGACTCAGGACTGGCACAAAAAATAATAAAATAAAATAAATAAAAATGAAAACAAGCATAACCCCAAGGTTTGACAACTGGATGTCTTGGAAGAAAGTTGTACCAAGAACACAGACACTAGAGAAGAAGGATTGGAAAAGATAAATAGTGGAAAAGAGTTCACTTGCTGGGTGCCAGTGGCTGACACTGCTCATCTTAGCTACTCAGGAGGCTGAGATCTGAGGATCAAAGTTTGAAGCCAGCCTGGGCAGGAAAGTCTGTGAAACTATTTATCTCTAATTAACCAACCAGAAAACCAGAAGTGGTGCTGTGGCTCAAAGTGGCAGAATGCTAGCCTTGAGCCAAAATAGCCCAGGCCCTGAGTTCAAGCCCCACAACTGATAAAAATAAAAATAAAAGAGTTCACTTGGGGCTGCTGGTTTGAGGTGCAAATCAAGGCACAAGGATGTATCTGAAAGCAGTCTTAGAGATGAGGTTCAGTTGTGTCTAACTTACAGAAGCCACTTGACTAAATCATTCAGCCAAACACTAGAAAATGGCCAGGGTCACACTGTGACTCTGATCCTCAAAGATGCCCAGTCTGCTGGCTGACTTAGTACAGAGACAACCTTGCTGAGTCACGTGAGCTCAGGGTGGAAGCAGCGTCTTCCCCTGGGCATCCAAAGAGGGGGAAGATGAGGCAGCAGTGGGAAAGGGGAGAGAAGTCAACGGAAGGTGAATGAGGCTGCCAGGTCTGGAAGGGTAAAGAGTAAGGAAGACTTCACCAAGCGAAGCCTAGGAAGATGACATTCCAGTAAGAGAATATAACATCACAGGCCTGAGAAACCCCAGCAGAGAACATTCTGAGCATGTGTGCATGTGCATGTGCACACACATACACACACACACACACACACACACACAGCCTGATATGATAAAAATAGCTAAAGGAAAATGAAGGGACATGGCTGAATGCACAGTGGATCTTACCCTGGGGACACCTGCCCATAAACAGGGCATGGAGATCATTCTGGTGCCAAGAGGAGGAAAGACTTAAGACACACTTGCTGGACCCAAATCCAATGGATAGTACCAATTGCTTTTTATTGAAAAAATCGACATCAGGGCTCTGTTTCCTACTTTCCCAGGTAGCATCAATGGCTGAGCTGTGCCTCATTGTGGGTGAGCCACAGTCATTGGTAAAAAACAGCATTGCATTTTTGTGGTGTGTGAGAGCAAAACTAATGGGGGGAAACCCCAAAACCCTCTGCTCTGGAGGCCAGCACACAGCTCACCCTGCTCTGAATTAGAGAGGAGATGGGACATAGGCCTAACCACTCCTGTAAAAAGACACATTTGGGAAATCTGGTCTGCTATTGACTAGGAGGTTGAAGTAAGAGGAAAACTCTAGCAGTGAAGTCGTATTCCCTCTCAGCTCCAGGCCACAGCAGGAACAGTGGGGTCCAGGGGGGTGCTGCCTGGTTCTCTGATCACTGTGACCAAAGGCCAGGTTCTGATCCCGATGCTCCTGCTCACTCAAAGAGGGAATCCCAGAGTACTGTGGGGGTCCAGAGCCTTCACTGGAACCAGAAGAAGAACCAGCCAAGGCCATGCACGGCCTTCCTAACCATCTCTGTGGACAAAGACAAGTTGTAGGCGTGAGAATCGGATTTTGTGGTGTCCTGCAGGGTCCTCCTGGCATCTAAGCAAGAGTGTTACCCAAATGAGGCCCTGCTGGACACTAATCTTCTAACCAGATGCACGGTGTCTCCTTCTCACGTGATGTGTTTGTTTTAGGGCCAACTCTGTGACGTGGAACCCACACAAGATGATGGGAGTCCCTTTGCAGTGCTCAGCCCTCCTAGTTAGAGAAGAGGTACGTCTCTCCTGACTCTGTCCCCATCTGCAGATGGGCTTCCCTGTCTTACGCTGCTGACCCTCTTCCCAAGATGCTCACATTCCCCAGAGCATGTGCCTCTTCTAAAGGCCTATTGGTGCTGGAGGACAAAGTGGCCCAGGATCTCCATGTTCAGGACAGAAACTTTGGCCTCATCTGTAAGATGCTTTGTCCTCAACTTTCCTTGGTGTCCTCAAATCTGGACACCAGCTCAAAATATAAAATTTCTACTTTACTCCTGGAATAGGAGATGGATTCATTGTTACCATAAGAGAGAAAAACAGATAGTTTTACCATAAGAAAAAATATACATGACAGAGAAGGTAAGTGTTAAGATTCAGATACATAGAAATAGAAAATGTGATTATATATATTGCAGTTCCGTGCTGCTCTTTTTATTAGTTAATGTCATGTTCAGAAGATAAGTCATCTGCTATACGAAAAGAATAACCCAGGACCACTGCCATTCTACACACTTCTGCCAAAAAGGCCTTGAGGTCATTTACTCTAGATACTCACTGTTGGTCAGTGCCTCTAAATTTCTCCTCCCTGATGCCAAGGTGAAGTTAGATCTCCTCACTCTACATAAATTTTATTGATAAGCTTTAAGTAAATAACCTTAGTTTATTCTTATTATACTTTATTTTGTTAGAATTCATAATCCAGCTGAGAGCCAGTGGCTCACACCTATAATCCTAGCTACTCGGAAGGCTGAGATCTGAAAGATCAAGATTCTAAGCCAATCCAGGCAGAAAAGTGCAAAGACTCCAACTTCAATTAGCCTGCAAAAACCCAGGCCGGAGGTGCAACTCAAATGGTAGGGTACCAGCCCAGCAAGCAAGCAGAGTAAGAAGAAAGCCTCCAGTTCAAAAAGACTGGCCAAAAAGAAAAAGGAAAAGAAAAGAACTAATAAAGAATCCCCAGATTGGAAATGGCGCTGTAGCTCAAGTGGTAGAGCACGCTAGCCTTGAGCTGAAGAGGTGAGGGACAGTGCTCAGGCCCAGAGTTCAAGCCCTATGACTGACAAAAAAAAAAAAAAAAGAATCCCCAGATTGAAAAAGGATCTTAAAATACTTATCTTTGCTTGCTTTAAAAATATAAAATTAGGGCTGGGAAGTTGGCTCAGTGGTAGAGCGCTTGCCTTGCATGCATGGGTTTGATTCCTCAGCACCATATAAGCAAAAAGAAAAAAGCCAGACAGCACCCAGGCCCAGAGTTCAGGCTCCACAACCGGACCCCTCCAAAAAAATATATATATAAAATTAAGGTCAAAGTCTTAGTTCAGAGGTAGAGTACAGGTCAGGCAAGCATGAGGCCCTGAGCTCAAATCTCAGTACCTCCAAAATCAAGCAATCAATCAATATTTTGATAGAAAAATGAAAACTCAAATAAAATTAACACATAACTACATTAGATCATTTGGGCCAGATAGAAAATATGGATAATTTTAGAGCTGCCTAAAATTCTGCCATTTGGAGATAATCATTATTACAGTTCCAAAATATTTTCACACACAAATTTTCTAGAAAAATATATAGGGTATAAATAAATACAATTAAAACAACTATCATCCTATGTAATATAAACATGCTTATTCTTTTTATATTTAACACTATATCATGTGAATAATATTCCAAACACTGCATTCTGTTTTCTCAATACTGGCAACAGAACCTCGGGCCTCCCTCACATAGGATAAATAAGTGTTCTACTACTGACTACCTTTTGAGCTCATGTGTGGTTAAAAAAGAAAACTGATTTTAATGGTCCTACAATATTTTCTTACATAATACATGGTAGCTTGATAAAAATCCTCAAACATGTATCTTTGATCATATTTCTTAAAGTAGAGTGATTCTTGATGAAAGAATATTATTATTCCTCATGCTCTTATAATGCTTTCTCTTGACAACTATATATTGAAGTTACACAAAAATAAGCAGATAAAAATTCAAATATAAACTTTCCTCTAAAATGAGATGAACACATTGACAAATATCATTTCAGGCTGACTTTCTATCAAACAAACTTCCAGTATGATACATCTTCTCCTATTATAGATCATGCAAACCTCAGCTGTATTGCTTGAAAAGAAAAAAATAAATCTTTATTATCTACATTTTAGCCAGATGTTTGATAGTGACTCTCATCATCTCACTGGCACACCAAAAGAAATGCAAGCCAGATAAAAATAGGTGGATTTGGATCTGATTGGATGAAGGCATTGGAAGGATCTGCTGACTAGAAGTGGGTGTTACCCAGGCTAGAGGCTCTGGTTACCTAACCCAGCTCCATTCAAAATATCCCTCAATAGGTTGAGTAAAACACAGAAGCTTTAAACAGTTCAGATGGGAAGAAGCTGGAAGGCAGCCCGAATCTGTGCAATGACGACTAAGAATATCAGTCTGGATATTTACAGTCTGGACCATCAAGCCACATCCACAGCAGGGACATTGTTCAAAGGCATCCAAGCAAGGCTCCATTCTTAGGTACAAGCATAGGGCATTTAGACTGGCCACAGAAAGCTTGTTTCAAAATGGCTAAATTGTTGGACTTGTTAAAGAGAAAAAAAGACCCAGGGCTTTAAGTTGCATTCTACTGGGTGAACAAGAAGTCAAAGAAAATGTCATTCAAAAACAAGATTCAACTGCGTGCTGGTGAGTGGTTCACACCTGTAACCCTCGGTAGTCAGGAGGCTGAGATCTAAGGATTGTGGTTCAAAGCCAGCCCAGGCAGGAGAGTTCATGAGACTCTTATCTCCAATTAACCAGCAAAAAAGATAGAGTGGAGCCATGGCTCAAGTGGTAGAGCACTAGCCTTGATCAACAAAGTTCAGGGACAATGACCAGGCCCTGGGTTCAAGCCCTAGGACAGGCACAAAAAAGAAAGAGGAAAAAAAAAAAACCTGAGTGATGTGGACATATCCTAATGAAACCCCTTACAATGGACAATATCATACATGCCAACAGTCAATGATTACTGGAATGGGATAAAAGATGTGGACCACCTCTCACTCACATCTGGTTAAAGAACAGGGCAGTGTTGTGCTTAGCTCCACAGCAAATCATATGTGAGCCTGCACCAAGCGGAGAGAAAAGCAAATAGAGAGCAATTGGTAAACCTGTAAGAGGAATGATTAGACAAACTATGGAAAGAAAAGAGAATGGAAAGATTTGAGAAGAGAGCAGTGTTTACCACTTTGACTTTCAAACAAGAGATTTGTTTGTTTTTTCCCCCCTGAGGATTTGAGGCAAAAGAATGACTTAGTACAGATACGAAGGCAAAATCAGAACACAAAGTGGGTTATATATCTAAATAGGGAGGGGGTCTATTGTGTGTGTGTGTGTGTGTGTGTGTGTGTGTGTGTGTGTGTGTGCACGCACACATGTGTGTGTTCTGGGTAATGGGGCTGAGATTTAGGGCTCTTAACTTTTCACTCACAGGGCTTGTGCTCTAACACTTGAGCCACATCTCCAGTTTTAGTCTTTTGATGATTAACTGGAGATAAGAAGACTGTGGATTGCTTTGCCTAAGCTGGCTCTAAACCTTGATTCTTGGATCTCAGCCTCTTGAGTTTTTTAGAGGTCTTTTGTTTGGAGCTGGTCTGATCTGCCCACCGTTCCGTATTCTCTTAAGGTGGTCTCTTTTGCTATTGGAAACATCTATTTGTCAGTTTTCTTGGCCAGGAGAAGAATGGTGACCAACTTATGTCCATAAAACAAAATAGAAGTACTTGTTGTAATTTTCACATCTTATTGAATATTAAGTGAATTTTCTTTTTTTCCAAATTCATCATTTTTCTACACACAAACACATTATATTCTTCCTTAGTCTCAAAACCTACTATCTGGATTATAGATAGAAATATAAAGGTTGAACTACAAGACTGGAAGACTCCAGTCTGTGGTGAAACCCTGTTAAAGTTTAACTTTCTTTGTGTTGTGCTTTAGTTCAGATAATTTTTTAAAGGGTTCTTCTCATTTCTGACTTCCACTCAGCAACCACATTTTAGTCTTTTGTTCTCTTGTCATGAGTCACACAAGAAACAAAAACCAAATGCCAAAGCTTTTATAAAATCAGCATACAGTGAGTAACAAGAGAGTCAAAGGCTTCCAGTGGCTCGTGACAAGCTGAAACATGAGGTTTCCAGGGAGGAGACTGACAGTGCTATTTTAGTCACAAGCATGATTCATTTTGTTCTTTGGAGCCGTTCCATCACTAGGCCACCCATTTCCATAGCTGGGTGATGGTACCCGGGCAAATCAATAGTTATTGACCATGAAAGTTGCCTTTGCAACTTTTGTGAGCAACTGAGTGAAAATGTAGGAAGAAAACTATGACCCAGGAAAGATGGTTTGTCATCTCAGAATTGTAATGTCATTTTTTTCTGCCCATAAAAATGGTAGCAGTGAATGGAAAAGCTGTGTTTTTCAACAGCAGCTCAAACACCAACAGTTATATGATAAAGTCCTTGAACTAGAAATGGGTACAAAACACAGGAAGAATCACACTAATAGTACTTAACAAAATCAGAAAATTTCTGAGATACTTTAGCGATAACAAAACCAGGACAAGAGGATGTTCTAGCAAATGAATATCATGCTCTGATTGTGATCTTTCTTTTGTCTTCTTCTTGCTTTCTCTCCAAAGGAAGAGAAAAAGTATAAATAAATATGTTCTTGTTCATTTTTGGTGACACATGACCATAGCCATTTATACTACAAAGTTACCTGTGATACTATCCTGCCAGGAGTTGATACCATCTTTTTAAAAAATTCCTGTCTTCTTTTTTCAAGATATACAATGTCTATTTGTTTGATTTTTCTTAATAATTTTCACCACAGTGTAAAGCTAATGGATAATCAGGAGAGTTTCCTGACTTTTCTCTTTCAGGGATTGATGCAGAGCTGCAACCAGATGCATGCCTCCTATCTCTTTCAGCAAGACAAACATTATGACCTGTCCTATGATACTGGAGACAAGGCCTTACAATGTGGACGCCATGTCGATGTTTTTAAATTATGGCTAATGTGGAGGGCAAAGGTGAGCATGCTTTGGTCAGTTGAATGTCAACAAAGAAAAAGGAAGAGAGATTTATCTGCTGGACATGATACTTCCTTTTGAAGACAAACAAATCAAGTATACAAATGGTTGCTGTATTATTGGCTTTAAAATGAGCAGGTTTTATTTCATTGATTGGGAGAACAATTTCAAGATGATAAATTAGACATCAGTAGCAGGTTGGGGAAAGCTAGATCTGTAAGTAGTACTCCAAATCCCTCTCACTTCAAGTAGCTTTCTGTATCTTGTTCCTGTGGTGTTTTTATTAAGATGATGATCATTAACTATATTTATACAAAAATGTTTCTCTCACGGTCCATCAGTTCCTGCTGTTTCTTTTTCGTGTGAGGCCTTATCTTCAGCATGGGGCAGACTTTGGTTGTTAGAGAAATAACTTGGAGAGCACCCGGGGTGAACCAAACAGCAGGAACCCACACTAAAAGCAAAGGAGGATGTTGTTAAAGCGATAAAATAAAAGACACTCGGAGAAATAAAATAAAATAAAATAAAAAAAATAAAATAAAAAAAAAAAGACACTCGGAGAGGAGTAGAAAAACAATAGGAAAAAAATCACCAGTTTTGTTACTTGGCTATATCTTTTCTTTTTATTCCATCCACAGAACTTCAACAATCTAAACATGTAAGTGGTGAAACTTTTCATTTAGTGTTCAACATAGAGCTGCAATATTTTGCAGAAGTGATCATGATGAGAGTAATAAGCCCCAGTCTAACTTAAACCAGAGATAAGGATAAATAGGTCAATGAAAATTCTCTTGTGAGTCTAGCCATTGAAGGAATTGTCCTCTCCCTTCAAGAAGAACCACGAGTAAGTAGGGTAATAATAGCTCATGCCTGTACTCTCAGGAAGGCTAAGGAGATTCACAAATTCAAGGCCAGCCTGGACTACATAGGGAGACAAGCAAAACAAGGACTAAGGATATAATCATAGAGCATTTAACTAGTAGGATCAAATCCCTAAATTCAGTCTCCAGCATTTAAACACACACACACACACACCAGTCCTGGAATATGAACTCAGGGCTGCTGGAGTGGGGCATGTTAGGACTGAGGCATGGACAGACCCACCTATAGCAAACCTCTGTATCTGTATGTCAGTGTACAGATTGGCAGGTTTCCTGATACCCTACCTAGCCCCTGGAGTTGAAGATGTGGATAACAAAGAAAGTGGCAAATACTACAAACAGGAAAAATTATGAAAGGGAAATGAACGTTTAGCATATTTTACCAACTGACAGAGTGTTCACTTTCTCTCTGAGATATTAATTAACTTTAATAAGTAACTATTGAGTATCTGTTATCCTGCACGGTGCTAAATGGAATGGGATAAGAAGGCTACCATTTCCCAGACAGGATAAAATAAGCCAAAAAATATCTGTCATATAAAACAGAACATAAGCCAAATGCCAGTGGCTCATACCTGAAATCCTAGCTACTCCAGAAGCTGAGATCTGAGGAGTACAGTTTGCAGCCAATCAGGGCAGAACAATCTGTGAGACTCTTATCTCCAATTAACTTCTAAAAAGCCAAAAGTGAAGCTGTGGCTCAAGCAAGAGAGTACCAGCCTTGCATGGGAAAAAAAAAAAAAGCTCAGGGACAGCTCCCAGGTCCTGAGATTAAGCTCCAGGACCGGCACCGAGAGAGAGAGAGAGAGAGAGAGAGAGAGACAGAGACAGAGACAGAGACAGAGACAGAGACAGAGACAGAGACAGAGACAGAGACAGAGAGGAGAGAAAGCTTGCTGGTGAGAGAAAGCTTGCTGGTGCCAGTAGCTCATACCTGTAATCCTAGCTACTCTAGAGGTCAAGATCTGAGGGTCATGGTTAAAGCCAGCCCAGGCAGGAAAGGCCTTGAGACTTTCATCTCCAATAAACCACCAGAAAACCGGAAGTGGCATTGTGGCTCAAGTGGTAGAATGCTCACCTTGCGCTGAAGAGTGCCCAGGCCCAGAGTTCAAACCCCACGATGGACCAAAAAAAGAAAAAAATGAAAGCTTTAACAAGAGATGATTTGGGAGCTAGGGCTTGGACAGGATGGATAGAATAAACAGGATTTCAAACAGCAAAGCTGAGGAAAGACATTCCAGGAAGAAAAGCAAGCAGAATCTCACATGCATAGCCTGACACTATTGGAGTCTAAAGTGTCTAAAAGATGCAAAGTAAGTGGATCAGAACTAGGGTGATGGCAGTGAAATATCACAGGTGTTCTGTAGTTCGAGCAGAAGCAGCATCTTTCGACCTATGCCTATGTCTTAGAGAAAATAGGACTTTGGTACATAAGTCCTAGTTCTCTTCTGCTAGCTCTGCAGAGTCAAGCCCATTTTAAAAGGAACCAAATTTCCTGAACATAATACTTGGGGTGCAGATGCTGGCTATTAGTCCAAGCACTTCCAATTGGTCTCCTTGGACCAATTGACTGGGGTAGCAATCTCCAAAGAGATGGATTTCTAAAACCATTGGATTTCTCCAGTGAAGCTCTTTCTTCAGTGTACTTTGGATGTTGCCATATTTAATGGGATGTTGAGGCCCTTTGTATACAGAAAAGGGACCATCTCATCTCCATCCTCTAGTTCTGGGTTGAATTAGTTACTGGTAGACTAGTTCTGAGTGTCCCTTGGATGAGCATTAGTTGTTTTGCTTTTGTTTTGAGACAAGGTCATGCAATGTAACCCAGACTGGACTCAAACTCATAGTCTTCCTGTCTCTACTTTCCATGTGCTGGGACTACAAGTACACACCAACTTACTAGCTATTTCTTTTAAGCTTTCCATGAGTACCAGGTAAATGCTGAAGCCACTTTGAAAAGCAATTCCCTAATTTTTCTTGATACCAGCAAAGCATTTCCAGTCCAATGCTGTTGTTTTCCCAAAGCTAGCCTCACAGCATCCATAGCTGAAAACTAAAAGACCTCTGTGACAATATTCACCCATCATAGACAATCATCCATCACCAAAGAACAACTCCAAAGATGTGGGCAGAATGATGGGCTAAAAAAGCACCTGTGTAAGCACCTCCCTAAAATTCATTCATTTAGTAGTTGAACTTCGTTTCAGTAAGGCCATACCCTATCTGTGGATGAGGAGGCATACTGCTTAACAAAGATGGGGATCCAGAAATGGGGAATTGATACAATGGGCCTGGGACCAAGCAGGCATCCTGGTTGGTCACTGATAGTGTATCTTGTCTGCACAAAGAGATGGTTCTGTTATTAATTGTGTCCACAATTACTGGTATGAACTATAGGGACAGAGTCTCTCCTTGGGTGGTTAAAATAATTGTCTGGGGAATGGAGGCTCAGGAAGGAAGTAGCAGACTGTAGAGAACTGTCATGAATGGGAACAAAAGCACCTGAGAAGGAAAAGATTAAAAGGAGAAACAATGGCCAGAAAAGCCTCTGGAAGCAGTTCACAGTAAGAAAGCTACCAGGGCAGCATGGAATCGGAAGTGGCAGAATAACCACCAGTCTCTTGAGAGCTTGCTTGTTCCCCCCATCCTCAGCCTGCCTAAGGAGCTCTATTCTTTTCCTTAGGGAACTGCTGGATTCGAAGCACATATTGACAAGTGTTTGGAACTGGCAGAGTATTTATACAATATCATAAAGAACCGAGAAGGATATGAAATGGTGTTTGATGGGAAGGTAGGTGCTCAGATTTCCACAATCCCTCAAAGCTGAGTCAACTCTAATCTTTATCATTAAGGCTCTGATGTCAAGAACGTGATGTCAGCTAAATAGCAGCGATGGACGATGGGGTCGCTGCTCTGGAGTCAAAAGCAGACTCACAAATAACTCTCTATACCGTGCAAGTGGAGACCCGCCAAGGAACTCACTGAGTTAAAAGGAAGAGTTGTATTCTGAATATGAAGAAAGAATAGATTTCAAATGTCCTTGAAATGTTCAAATATTCCAATTTGGCCCAAGTGCAAATCTTACTTTTCTCTTTGTAGCCTCAGCACACAAATGTCTGCTTCTGGTATGTTCCTCCCAGTCTGCGCACCCTGGAAGACAATGAAGAGAGAATGAGTCGCCTCTCAAAGGTGAGTGCTGAGAACTCCCTTGATACTTGTATCGATTGGGCCTCTGATGTGTACATCATATTTATGACCAATGAATGCCCTTGGGTGCATGAGTACACTCCCTCCTGTGGGCTCCAACACCCAGGATGTAGAGTCATGACTTTCCACAACTTCCTTGCATTAGGAGAGTTTCTCATGGCTTAATGTAAGTATTTAAGTGCTAAGCTTTTCTGCATTGAGAAAGCAGCAGGAACCTTTGTTGAGAGTGATTGCTTTTTCCTAGCAAAACCAGTAACGAGTTGTAATCATAGAAGAGACTTGAGGTCCCAGAAATGATCAGAAAGCCACTGATGACTCTCTTTGTATGTCACACTCAAGGTTACTCTCAGAGATCTTTAGAGTTGTAAGGCCTTCAGAAAATAACAGAGCAAGAAGCAATAATAATTACTATCATTAATACTAACAGCCACCATTTAGAGTGGGTATTGTTTGATGTCTAAGCTTTTCTGAAGTGTTAGATCACTCAAGTCTCTAGCAACCTGAGGGTGGTGTATGGAAATTCTGTTGTCTTCAGGTGTTGCTGATAGGAAAACTGAAGAGTAAGGAGAAAAGTAACTTCCCCTGTGTCATGCATTCTGACTCCATAGTATGAGAACTTGAGCTTTAAATTCTCCTATGGTCAGTAAAAATACCTGTGTCTTTAATCCTTGCCTGCTCCCAACTTTCACCATGAGTGAAATAAGGTTCACAATGCACACCAAAGGGAGAAAATATGTAAGATCCATCTCCCAGTGTGTGTTAGAATAAGATACTAGGAATTATGACAAAGATTTGAATCTCAAAGAGTTGATTGGTTGGTTGGTTTACAGGTTTTTTTGTTTTGTTTTTTTCATTTATCATAAAGGGAGGATCCTTCTCCAGGACTTGTGCTACTTCATTGGCCTTCGAGTAGTAGGGAAAATAGTATCCCATGTAGATTAAAAACCCTAGGAAAAGTTTATACATGTTAATAACAACCCAGGATGAGATTCCTCAACAGGAAGAAATTACACAAAGTGGAGGTCTTCAAACCATGCCTCTTGGACCCCTGATTATATATTAAAATCATCCAGAAACTTGATAAAGGCAGGATGATCAGGTCTTACCCTGATAATGTAAGCTAATGGCTCTTGGATGGACCTGGGAATATTTCTAAAAGTTCTGCAGATGATTCCACTGTGCAGCCAAGGCTGAGAAACACTGTTCTGATCTGATCTAAGAATCAAATCAAGGAAAGTTTCTAAATCCTAGATCTGTGGTGCACATGTCTAGGATAGGAGGAGTTGTGGCTGGTTGTGAAGCTTCAGGAAGTTTAAGTTGGTTCATTTCAGAAAATGAAGCCCAGGAGTTAAGAAGGAGGAAAGGAAGCCACATAGTTACAAGACCATAGCTGCAGGCTTGAAAAAAAAGTGTGTGTGTGGGGGGGGGGGGGGGGGTCTGGGCAAAAGTGAGAATCATCAAAAGTAACCAAAGCTCAAAAGAATAAAAGCTAGAGAGTGCCTCAAATAACAGAGTACCTACCCAACAAGCACAAAGCCCTGAATTCATACCACAATACAAAAAAGTATCATTTGTTGAACAAATGTCCTCAGTCTTTTCAGGATGCACTAGACAAACTACTACAGTCTGGGTGGCTTATAAACAACAGGCATTTCTCACATTTCCAGAGGCAGGAAACCCTATGTCAAGGTGCTGGTAGGTTCCATGTCTGCTGAGGGCCCACTTCCTAATTGTTTTCACAGTTTGACCTTTCTGGGATCTCATTTGCAGGGCACTGGTTCCATTTGTTGAGGGAGAGCCTTCCAACCTTATTCTTCAGCCTGGCACTGATGACTCATGCCTATCCTTGCTATTCAGAAGGCTGAGATCTGGAGATCACCATTTAAAAAGCCCAGACTGGAAAGTCCCTAAGACTCTTATGTCCAAATTAGCTATAAAAAACTGGAAGTGGAGCTATGACTCAAGTGATAAAAGCACATTATTGTGCAAAAGAGCTAAGGGATACCATCCAGACCCTGAGTTCAAACCCCAGTACCCCCCCCCACACACAAGACCTCTCACTCTTGATACTGTCATATTTGGGGTTAAGATTTCCACAGGCAAACTTGAGGGACACAAACATTCAGTGTATAGCAAGTATCTTTTGCATGTTCCATAATAAGGACAATAATAAAAACAGCTAGCCCCAGTGGCTCACGCCTGTAAAACGAGATTCCCAGGAGGTTAAACTGTCAGGATTGCAGTTCAAAGCCAGCCAGGGCAAGAAAGTTCATGAGACTCATCTCCAATTAACCACCAAAAAGCTGGAAATGGAACTGTGGCTCAAAAGGAAAAGCACTAGTCTCGAGCAAAAATGCTGAGGAACAGCCTAGGCCCTGAGTTCAAGCCCCAGGACTGTCACAAAAGGAAGGAAGGAAGGAAGGAAGGAAGGAAGGAAGGAAGGAAGGAAGGAAGGAAGGAAGGAAGGAAGGAAGGAAGGAAGACAGGAAGGCAGGAAGGAAGGAAGACAGGAAGGCAGGAAGGAAGGAAGAATGAAGACAGCCCAGGTCTTTTCCCAGAGTGCACTGGTTTGGAGAAAGATTTCTAGATAATGAAAATAGATTTTAGTAAAGTAAGCAGTCACATCTTCCTGAGAAGATAAAGATGAGAATCTATTTCATGTGCTTCCTGCTACCCAAGAAGGCTTATCTTTTGAGCCTCTCTTCTGCTTCTGCTTCTTTTCTTCACTGTCATCTTTTCTGGAGAGAAGGCAGTGCTAGGAATAAACCTGGGGCTTCATGAAGGTTAGGCAAGTGTTTTACCGCGAAGCCATACTCCCAGTCCTTCCTGTAATTATCTGCATCTTTTCTTTCTTAAAAAAATATGTTTATTGTCATTAAGTAGTTATACGAAGAAGCTTCCACTCAACAAAGCAGTTTGTGAATATAGTGCCTCTTGACCAATGTCACCCCTTTCAACATTCTCACCCAACCCTCCAAACCTTCCTCTTCCCTCACTTTTCTTAATTTTGTAAAATATTTATTGATTTTTGTGCCATTTCACAAATCTGTTTATGTATACAATAAATTAATAAATCTTGATCTGTGCCACCCCTTCAACCTCTTCACCCCCCCCCTTCAACTCACCCCTTCCCTTACTTTTCTTAATTTTGTGGTATGTACAATAAATTCTTGATTCCATTCATCTACCCTTCTCCTCTTCTCCCCACTTCTTTCCTGCAAATATCCATTTCCCGGTACTTATTTCTACTCCTGGGCATTAATCCGATAGAGCACAAACAAGGCTGTCTTAAAGTCATCAGCACAACCGTCTTCATTGCAGCACTCTGAATTCAGCATAGCCAAGATGTGGACTCAGCTAAAATACCACTGAGTGGATGAATGGATCTAGAAAATGTGGTATATTTACAAATAGAATTTTATGCATTCATTAGAAAGAATGATTATTGTACCATTCGTAAGGAAATGGAAAGACCTGAAAAAATTATATACCCAGAGAAACAAAAGTTTCATTGTTTCCCTCATTTGTGGTAGCTAGAATGTTCTTATAAATATGTAAATAAACACACTGGGTAGTATGCAAGCAGTTACAAATGAGTTAACTGAAGTCTAATAGACTCTATGGAAAGTTCAAATAGTATAATTCTTTAGAAAAACTATACCTGCATCTTTTCTATAGGCTTTTATACTGCTATACTAATTAATGACTTTCAACAATGACAGTAAATTGTTCAGTAACTAAATTGGTCTCCTATTTAAGGTGACTTTTTAAAAAACTGCTCTTGGATATAATGGGAAAATTAGCAGTGGTGAGATTTTAACATCTCAGAATGTCTTACTGATGGCTCAGGTTTCTAAGATGTAAAAACCAAAAAGGTTTTCTAACAGAGTGCAAAGCACATTTCTATGGTAGCTTCTCAAGGTTATTTCATGATGAATATGAGACATCTATTTTATCAGGGGACAAATTTGGATTTGAGTTATGGAGAAATCCTCTGGCTATTGTTTTCTATAGGACTGGAAAATGTAATGACCCAATGGAGAAAACAGTATACTAAAACTCTTAGGGCATCTGCAAACAGTTCTTATTGATTAGATGTTTAGTGAATTCTTCCACATGCAGTCCTTTCTTTCCCACCTGTTCTTTTTAGTCAAAAAACCAAGAACCTGGCCAAAATAAAAATCTAGAAAAAAAGAAAACGTTCCATATATCTATCAGAACAGTCCAAATCTTATTTCCCTTTTTAACTTGCAATTAGTGAATCTAAAATGAAATAGATGTTCCAGCTACTTTTAGTTTATCAGCATTTTCTGGATGAGCCAAAATTCATATGTATTTGGACAGCTGTGATTCTGAAAGCTCAGCTTGCTTCAAGAGCTAGAAGGATTCAATCTCATACTATACCAAAAATATGCTTGAGATATGGCTGGTAACATCACTCTTTTGATCAGTGATTTGAACTTATTGGAAAAGTTAGAGATAATTTACCCTTAATAACTACTGTTGTGCTTATGTTTTTGCTTTGGTTGCCCATAGAAATGAAATCAAAGTTCAAGTCACTTAACTAAAGGATTCTCCTTATTTTCACAAAACGTTATCCAAATAAAAAGAAGGAATAGTCGTCTGATTTTTTCATAAATTTCCACAGCCAGGTGAATTTGGAATTTCTTTGCTCGGGGCACAAAATGATAGATTTCATGTCCTAGGGATATAATATTTTAGCAGATCTGTTTTTCAGAACTTTATCCCAGAGACAAGATACCTAAACTCATTTTTGTCAGCATTTATTTCCAGTGTTCTTCATATACACTTTATTCTTTAGGTGGAAGAATAATGAATGGTAGGGATATAAAACCTCACTCATCTAGAATTGGAAATTCTCAGCACTGGAATTATTGTCCACATTTATTTTGGATGATGAGACTATTTACAAAATGTGAAGTAAAAGATGAAGTCTGACTTGTTGGCCTTGTCTTTAGTAACATACAAATGGATAGACAGACCTCATGAGAACCCAGAAAACTCTGCATATTGGATGCTTTGAAGATGCAACTTCATTGTAAAGCAATAATTACTTAAGAACTGACATTCCAAAGTCATACGTTCATAACATCATGAATCCAAGTTAGGTACTCATTTGCAACTCAGTCTCTGACCATGTACATCTCAAATAAGCCTAAAGCTTTTCTGATTTCTGCCATTTCTACTCATACATTTATAGAAATAAACTTCAAAGATGGTGTGTTTTATTTACAAATTCCAGAGGTAAATGTATACATTGATAGACTATATGTTTAGTTAGATGCAACTTAAACATTTGCCACTTTCTAAATACCTATAGCAATAACTGCATCATAATTAGATAGTCGATTTGAACTCAGAAAGCCAACACCATATACTCAACTAAATAAGTCAAGGATGCTGTGCCTGCCCTCTGGGAGCTTACATTTGAAGAAGAGAAAGAGCATGTACTTACTCATCAATAAGAGGCCAATAGGAAATTAGCGTGTTTCAGAATCTGTAGGTAAGAATCATGTAGTCACAGTTTTAAAGAAGAAAGCTACTAATAGACTGCAGAGGACAGAAAAGATTATACAGCCATTGTAGACTGTAGTGGAGTCCTATGATGCATGGGGGATGGGAACTAGACTTGAGAGAGATTCTTAGTAAGGAGGACACACGTGAAATGGAAAAGCCCAATGAGAAGTGTGAGGGGAGGAGATACAGAGGGGACAGTGAGGACATGTTCATAAACTAGCCTTGTCAGAGTGGATGGCTCGTTTTGGCTGGCAGTGGAAGATGTGTCCTCAAATCTGGATGACAGAAAGTCCTCACGCTTAACCCAAGAACTTGGACTTAAATTCATACACCATAGGCATCTCCTGAAGCTGTAATGGCCCAGTGTTGCCTAAATACTTTAAAATCTTGTCTGTACCTGAGATCCTTGTGGGTTTGGCTTTGTACCCTAACTGATGGTCAGACTATTAAGGAATACCTTTCAAAATATAAAGAGAGGGAGAGAGAGAAAGAGAGAGAGAGAGAGAGAAATTAAAAGAAATTAGAGCAGTTTAGGATCTCCAGAAAGTTGCCAAAAGGCGATTATTTGAATATATCACTTGATATTGACATTCACCTTTTGGTAACAATTCTCGGAACAGTGTTCTATATCTGATAATTTTACATTTTATTGGGGGAGAGATTCCCACCTCTCAGTTTTCCCAACTGTTGTATTGCTAAGCCATTTAGCCCTGAGATTAATATCAGATATTCCTTGTACTCCAGAAAAACACTTACCTAGAAAGTCCAGGCTAAGGTAGTTTACTATCTATACTAAGATATCTTACTATTATTATTTGTGTTACTTCAGAACCTTAAATATATTGAGCAGTTCTAATCCTATGAAAACTTGGAGGCAATTCCTTCAAGAGAAAAAAAAATAATATGGGCTGGGAAGGTGGCTCAGTGGTAGAATGCTTGCCTTGCATGCATGAGGCCCTGGGTTCGATTCCTCAACACCACACAAGCAGAAAAAAAAAGCCAGAAGTGGTGCTGTGGCTCAAGTGGTAGAGTGCTAGCCTTGAGCTGAAGAACTGAGGGACAGAGACCAGACCCCCCCTAAAAAAAAGAAAAAAGAAAAAAAGTGTGGTTCTATTTTTTTTTATTGTGAAAATACTGTACAGAGGGGTTACAATTACATGGGCAAGATAATGAGTACATTTCTTATCAAGCATTGTTGCCTCCTCCTTTGTTTCCCCTTCCCATCCCTTCCTATCCTCCCCTCATCCCCTTCTTCCTCCCCCCCCCCACCCCCTACCACCCCTGCCCTCGGCCAAAGTTGTAAAGTTTGATTTTCGACATAACAACTTGTACATCTCATTGTTGCAATGGGTCCACCTGTATCCCTATTTAAACATTTGTTTTTTTTCCTTTCCCCTCCACAAATTATACCAACATCAAATACAGTGGAAACAGGGGTTATACTGTGGGGGAGGGACATACAAAGCAACAAAGAAATCATCTTATAAATATGTTAGAAACAATAGCAAGAAAGAAAAAATATTTGAATCCTTATCTTGGGGTTCATTTCACCTAACATCAACTTATCTGACCTTTTCTGCTTGTCTTAGATATATACTAGTTATTGCAAATAAGGGAAACCATGGGACCTATGTTTCTTTGGGCCTGGCTTACTTCACTTAATAGAATTTTTTCCAAGTCTTTCCATTTCCTAACAAATGGGGCAATGTCATTCTCTGATGAAGGAATAGAATTCCATTGTGTGTGTGTGTGTGTGTGTGTGTGTGTGTGTGTATACCACATTTTCTTGATCCATTCATCTACTGAGGGGCATCTGGTTGGTTCCATATCTTAGCTATGGTTCTATGTAATTTAAAAAAAAAAAAAAAAAAGACTAAAATACTGCTTGTTTTACATTCCTTGACCAAGGGAGAGGACATGGAAAAATAGTCATTGCACGTCTCTCCCACAGGTGGCGCCAGTGATTAAAGCCAGAATGATGGAGTATGGGACCACCATGGTCAGCTACCAACCCCTGGGAGACAAGGTCAATTTCTTCCGCATGGTCATCTCAAACCCTGCAGCAACTCATCAAGACATTGACTTCCTGATTGAAGAAATAGAACGCCTTGGACAAGATTTATAATAATCTAGCTTACCAAGCTCTTTCAATTCTCTTAGTAGACAATTAAGTTGTCACAAATGGTATAAATGTATTTGTAGTTTGTCCCAAAGTAAATCTATTTATATATTGTGGTGTCAAAGTAGAGCATAGTTTAAAAAAATCAAAGGAACATTACTTCTTTTAAAAAAAAACCTTTAAGTTTAGAATACCTCCTAATAATTAGTGACAAAAGGCTGTGTTCTACTCAGTAAGGAAAAGCTAAAAATTATTATAAATATTGCCCTCACTTTTAATATAGTGTGCAAATCAGACTTTATTTTCACTTCAGAGTAGTAAGACTGAATAATGCCAAATTGCCCTCTGAATCATAAGAGGTTCTTTGGGGCACTGTGAAAATGGGTAAAGTAAATATAAAATTGCCTTTTACATAGTATTAGAAAAAAAAGTTTCTAATTTACCTATAGTAACATTTCAAATGTATTTAAATACATATAATTTTACAAAAGGAAAAATATATATATTAAAAAGAAATCCTATTTTGTAACATATAGATTTTTATTTTATATGGGTTATACAAACTGCAGGGGCAGATTAAAAATCTAAGTCAGATTATTTTTCTCTTTGTTTTAATAGAGGCATGATAAATAAAAACTCTTGGCAAGGTTAATTTGACACATGGGCCCGCAGAATTATTAAAAGGTATGATTCCTACTTTTAGTACATAGTACGGTTTCTCACATCTCTGAAGTTAATATTTCCAAACAAGCCCAAAAGAACACTGCAAACTTGAAAAATGATTGATCAACAAGTCCTGTCCTCACCCCCACGACGGTTTTCTGTCCACTCTGCCCTTCGCCCACCTTCTCTATACTAACCTTTCTCCTAGAATAAATGATCGTAATCATCTCTAGTCTTTCTAATTGGACCTGTTTTGAACAGAAGGTAGATACTGATAAGTTGAGGTATCCTTCCAAACAATATTCTTTTATTAGGTCATTTGGATTCATTAGAGGAAATAAAAATAAAAGCTGATCAGCTTGAGCAAAGAGGAATGAAGCACATTCTCAGAATGTGGTAAAACTCAGCATATTAAGCTCAGCCAGGGGAGATGAGATCTCTTTATGACAATAATGGCTTCATCCTGCATGCCATATTGCTACTCTCCAGGAAGAAATCATTTACCTCCTGGATAAATGCTTATTCCTGTCCCCTTCCCCCATTCCTCCACACAAAAATCTCTCCTGTTTTAATTTGCCATGTGGTTATTTTCCTTTATGAAGTGACTTCCTTGCCCTAGTTTTTTGAGATAGCCTAAGACTTACTTTGTCTGTCTCCAAATCAAGATCCAAAGCAACCAGAATATGCAGAGATCATTCAAATTCAAAATAATATTCTTAAAAAAATCCTCTCTCTTCCCCTGTGTGCCTGATGGAGATTCATAAGAGAAAGCAAAAGCTCTGGTAGATATTTATAGGTCCAGAGATTGTGAGATGCCAAGAGCTGGTAGAGCTACATCTTTGTATATCCAACTGCGCATGTAAATTTGGAAATATATTCCTGTCAGTGTAGGACAGTTCAATAGTCAGAAAGACCACAGGTGAAGAAATCGTTATGAGTTTCTCTCAGGGTATATAAAAATACACCTATCCTTGATATGAACATGGCTTTGGTTCCTTGCTGTCTAGAGGACAAATAGATTCCCAATGGCAAAGAAAAGGAAACTCATCTACACTGCAGAGTTTCAGAAATGGCCTCCTACATTAGGATTTTTTTCTAATGGGCAAGCATCGCCTCCATCCGTCTTAAGCCTTGGGGCCTCAAAGGTTCCATTTCAGTGGCAGAGTCAGAAATGTATCAAACCCACTATCCTACGTAGAGAATACAGTGGGGCTGAGTGCCCTGATGGATAGATCCTTCCCTGCTCCTGCACATGCAGCCCTTGGAGAACAGATCCTTTAGCAGAAGCTGGCTTTTAGCTTGATGCAATGACAGAAATTAAAAGGAGAATTTGTATCTGAGTGTAAAATTCCAACCAAATAATCTGTACCAATAGCTTTTTCCTTCCTACCCCCTGCCTCCTCTAAATTCTTCCTCAAATTTGCTGAAAATCTGGCTCACACCTGTGCAGGGAAGCATTCCAACCAATCATAACCCAGGAAGGAGGCAGATACGGACCTACTATGTTCTGGTATTTAAATACCACTCTCCAACATTGATCCATAATCCATTTGAGAGAAAGGAAAAGAGGAAGGGAGAATGACAGGAACCAAGGATGAAATGAATTAAGGAAAGAAAAGGAAAAGGAAGGGAGGGAGGAAGGGAGAGAGAGAGAGAGAGATTGTTTTGAACATTAGCCCAAATTCCCAGTGCCAAAGTGTGAAAGCGTTCTTTAGAGATTTTAGAAATGTTTGGTTTTAGCTTTAATCAAAACTGACATGGCCATTTTCATTTATACAGCAATATTGTGTTTATTATTTCAAATACTTGAAAAGAAGTGTGGTATTGTCTTACTCTGAGACCTCTAAATGGTATGAACTCATGTGCTAATCCCAGAATGTGAGGGAAGCAAAGGAAATCAATCGTGTGTACATGTGACTGTATTGCCTTTCTTCTATTGATTGTACTGTCTTGTCATCTCAGATTGGGGTTGTACACTTTTTCCTCTGAACTGTACAGTGTTGTGAATCAACATGTGTCGCTGTAAAAGCTTGTATGCTATATTATTGGTATGTCTTTTTGTTTTCCTGTGTGGTAGCTGTATCAAACTTTGATATTATGAGAACTACATTTGCATCTGTTCTTCTCTCTTCCTTCTTTTTGAGATATCTGCCCTCCACATCAGCTCTAATAGAGAACTTACCCTCAACTAAGCTCCTTCTTGAGACATCTCTTTTGAGAATTGTGTGACTCCATAAACAGCAAGGTGACACTGCGTGGTCTCTGAGACCAGGGAGAACCAAAGATGGAGTGTTACAAACTCCTGACATTGCTGATCTTGGTTTCTTGGCCTAGGAGCAGATGCTACTCCTGAGCATATGGACTAAGGAAGTACAGGTGTAAATATGATAGTGAGACGAGAAATCAGAGGACCTCACACTGGGTATCATCTTGCACGTGCTTTTCTGTTTCCAAGTGCTAAATGCAAACACTGTGTATTTAGTAGTTCCATGTGCCAAAAAAAAAAAAAAAAAAAAAAAAGAAACCCTGCTCCTAATTGGTGTTTCTGAATGACATTAATATTTCCCAGGCATCACTCCATTACTAAAGACAGAAAAAAAAAACAAAGAATTAAAAAAATAAAATACACAAACATGTGGCAACCTGTTCCTTGTCCCAAATATAAACTTGTGTATGATCGAAGTATTTTACCTGTGTTGTCTCTCTAAATCCAAATAAATGTGTAACTGTGGACATATCTCAGGCTGTGGATGCTTATTTCTGATTGTCACCTGGTGAAGTTCAATAAATTGTCCAAGTAAAGGCAACTGTCACACAGTTCACCATCTTTAAGGTGTCACTTCTGCTATTGCATCTGGCAAGAATCATTCACCATTGATCCATTCTTCTGTCTGTCTGTCTGTCTGTCTGTCTGTCTGTCTGTCTGTCTGTCTGTGTATGTGCGCACACGCCAGTCCTGAGGCTTGAACTCAGGGCCTGGGTGCTGTCCCTAAGCTTTTGTGCTCAAGGCTAGTGCTCTACCACTTGAGCCACAGCACTACTTCTATTTTTGTGGTAGTTAATTGGAGATAAGTGTCTCATGGAGTTTTCCTGCCTCGGCTGGTTTTAACCCATAATCCTCAGATCTTAGCCTCCTGAGTAGCTAGGATTACAGGCCTGAGCCACACTTTCATTTTATAGATAGAAAAATTGATGCTCTGAGACATTTCTTTTCCAAATGTGAGCAGGGAATTCATAGTAGGAACATAGTCTTGGGTGAGTTGCTACTCACAGGGGATCATCACTCGGTCTAAGCCTTTGGATTGCTTGGGAGACCCTCCCAGAACACTCAATGTGAAGTTCTTCATTAGCTACCATGCCATGCACTTCTTTTTCCCATAATAACTTTTGAGGATTTATTTTTCACCAATTTCCATGATGTTATCATTATTTGGAAAGGATTTATTGGGATGATTTTCCAAGCAGTTGCCCACCCATAGAAATTTGGGATTCAGATCAGTAAATTTCTTCAGATTCAATAATTATCAAAGTAAGAATGTCCATGCATGTTTATGAAACACAATCTCAAAATACAGTATCTTATCATTTGAGGAACCCACAGCAGCAGCAAGTTCTTGCTGACTTTCTCCCTATATTTTCTCTTGAAAAAAAAAAAAAAACAATAGAAATTTGAAAGATTCCTCTTTATTTCTTCTTCCCTGAAGCAGGCCCTAGAATTTTATGTGATCTTTCCCTGATGTAGGTTAGAAGGCTCTCCTTCCAAACTGGTCCTTATCTCCTAAGACACGTGGACATACAGAAAAATCTGAATGAACAGGTTTGCTAACTTTCCTCAGTGCAATTCCATTAGATGATATCCATCTGTCCTTCAAAAATATTGCTGCAAGAATCTTCACCAAAATGCAGTTTATCTGTTTTGGGAGGGAGCTTTTATTTCTAAACACTTGCATGTGACATGAAATTCTCATTAAATTAGTTTGTAGGCCATGTGTTGTAACTCATACCTATAATCCCAACTATTCATGAGGCACAGATTGGGAGGATCAAGGTTTGAGGAAATTCTAGGCAAAAGTTTGCCTCAACCAATCAAAGCTGGGCATGGTAGTGCATACCTGTCATCCCACCTATTTGGAAAGTATAAATAAGAGAGTCACTGTAGAGGCGAGCCCAGGAAAACAACAAAACAGTATCTAAAAAACAACTAAAGCAAAATGGGCTAAGTGTGGCTCAAGTACCTCCATTGTAGGTACAAGACTCAGAGATCAATTCCAATATAAGCTGGCTCATATCTGTAATCCTAGCTACTCAGGAGGTTAGGCTATGAGCCTTGTGATTCCAAGCTAGCCAGGGCAGGACTCTTATCTCCAACAAACTACTCAGAGAAAGTCAGATGTGACACTGTGATCCAAGTGGTACAGCACTAGCATTGAGCACAAAGAGGCTTAGGTGGCAGTACCTAGGCCTTGAGTTCAAGCCCCAGGGCTGGC